TTGTGGCGAAAGAAAGTTCTTCAGATTATAAAAAGGTAAGAAAGAGATGGTTCTTTAAAAAACCTTTGACTGAATGGTTCTTTGTGGAACCAGAAATGGTTCTTTCATGGCATCGCTGTGAAGAACCTTTTAAGCACCTTTATTTTTAAGAGTGTACCGTCCCAAATTGTACCTTACTGTACTGCACTGACCCGTACCGCTTGGTGGAAACGAGCCATAAGCCATAATTGTACCCTCATAGGGACAGTTTTTGTTGAGAGTGTACAATTGCCTTGTTGACATCTTACAATTTTGGTTGCCAGAACATTCTCAAAATAAATGTCCTAACATTCTATTCTGGTGAACCAAGAAAGGACTCATTTACTCCAACCTCTCTGTAATGTTCTTTTAAGGGTTACTTCACGATTATAGAAAACAAAAACCTAAAAACAACCTTTATTTAACATTCTTTTAAAGTTTTATTATAGGTTGTAATAAAAACTCCCCAAAAAATGTTCTGGGAATAATAGTTTATGGTTATAAGAACATTGCAAGAATATTAACAAAAATATAATCAAATCATAACCACACACTAATGTTAAGAAAACAATCCGTGTTTGCTGGTTTAGAGTGCTGAGCTTTCAGACATCCTACTCATTTGACTTTAACCTTTTAAGTATGTCTGTTCTGTTTGTTTTAGTGGCCTGGCATGTCAACTTTTTGCTTAACCAATGGTGTGCAATGGTTTGGGGTGAGAGGGCCTTTTAGTAACATATTAGTACTTATAAAGCACATATTCTGCATGACCATATTCTACATCCCTAATCCTACCCAAAACCTAAATTTAACAACTATATTACTAGCTATTAATAAGCAGCAAATTAGGAGTTTGAGGCAACAGTTGTAGTTAATGGTTTGATAATAGCGAGAATTGGACCTTAAAATAAAGCCTGACCGAGTATTTGTAATGAGCACCTTAATTAGAAATGTATTAGTTTGCTCCAGTAATGAAAGAGAATTTGTGATGGAAGAAATCCCAACCGATTGTTTCTACTGTTGGTTTGGTCATGCTTATGGTACTTTTTACAAAAAAAGGTTAAATGTAATGTAGTTTTCTTTATTTTTCTGAACATTTTGCTACATTTTTAACAATACACTAGTATCACAGTCCCACGTTTCTTGAGTCTTCTTTACTAAGCTACAGTTTGTAAGATTTTGTTTGACTAGACTAGACATTATTTTTTCGCCCGTCACCCCTCCTGCCATGTTCTTTTGCCCATGCAGAGAACTTGTCAGAGACTGAGAGTTTTCTCACACCCCCTTATGTTCATTTGTTTTATTTCTCAGGCGCTGTTGTTGTGTTAAATGCAACAGTGATGATTATTTATGTCTCTATGCGCTTCCTCCACGTACCCACAAGCTAAACAAAAGTGGAGAGAGAGAGGTGTGAAGACCAAGCAAGCCTCTTTGACAAGTTTAAACTGTATAGCTCACAGAAGCAGAAAATAACTAATTAGGATTGTGGTTCTGACAGCCCTTATATGTTAGGCTGGAGAGTCTGGCCCTCTGAGATCTGCTCATCTCACACATCACTGCACACAGGAGTGTGAAGGGCCGTCTGGAGGACCGTCCAGGAGCCCTACCTGAGAGAGAGAAAAAAAGCCTGCTGGGAAAAGAAATGCATCACTGAAGCATGGCTACATACTTGCACAATATGCTGAATCTATATTAAAATCAGTTGTCTGTGACGCAATTTAGCTTGTGATGTATAAATGCTGAAATTCATCAGACCTAAGGCCTTCTGACCTACCAGAAAAATGGTGAAAGTAGATTCGGTGCTATTTTTTATGTGCAGTGCCTATAAAAAAAAAAAGTAATGGTCTTTTCGTATTTTGTTGTTTTTGACTTAATTTAGTTTTTATGCCACTTATCACACAGGAAAACCTATCATTTTATCTCTGCAAATCTTTTTAGCTTATTAAGGCTACATTCATTTGATCATACAATACAGAAAAAAACAAAAAATAAAGCATTAGTTTATATACTGAATTTAAAGGGATATTTTAAAATAACCGTTTTTATGTTAATATATTGTAAAATCTTATTTATTACTGTGATGGCAAAGCTCCATTACTCCAGTCTTCAGTGTCACTTGATCCTTCAGATATCATTCTAATATGCTGATTTGGTGCTTAAAGGGATAGTTCACCCAAAAATTAAATTTTTCATATGTTACTCACCCTCAAATTCCAATCCTGTTTGAATTTCTTTCTTCTGTCGGGGTAGAACATGGGAAACCAAACAGTTGATGGACCCCTTTGACTCATAGTATGGAAATCAATACTATGGAAGTCATTGGGGTCCATCAACTGTTTGGTTACCCATATTCTTAAAATAAAAAAAAATAATGTTTAACAGACAAAAGAAATTCATACAGGTTTGGAACAACTTAAGGGTGAGTAAATTACATTTCAAATTTTTGGGAGAACTATCCCTTTAAGAAACATTTCTTGTTATTATCAATGTTGAAAACCGTGGCTGCTTAATATTTTTGTGGAAAACATTTGTAGGATTCTTTGATGAATAGAAAGTTCAAAAGAGCAGCATTTAATTGAAATAGAAATCTTTTTGTAGCATTTTAAATGTCTTTACTGTCACTTTTGATCAATGTAATACATCCTTGCTGAATAAAAGTAAGGAATAAAAAAAAACATACTATTCAGGGTGATCAGGACCCCTTAGCAAGTAAATAAAGTATAATGGTAGTATAAATCCACCTCTAACCAGAAGGCAAAATGGGACTTCTGAAGGATTGACAATCTTCAGTGGCTGAGATTGGAGAGATTGCACATTTAACTGTTGCTCCAGGGCTTCACAGCTACATCTTAATGGGAGAATGTCAAAGATAAATCCACTATTAAAGAAAAATGTCTCAGCACAGCACATGAGAGACTCTGAAGCCAGTTGGAAGGAGGTTCTGTGGTCTGATGAGACCAAAATTGAGATGTTTGGCCATTAGAATAAGCGGCATATTTGGCATAAGCCAAACGCTGCAGATCAGAAACACACCATCCCCACAGTGAAGCGAAGTGGTGGCAGCATCATGCTGTGGGAATTCCTGGCAGGCTTCTGAGGGTAGATGGTAAAAAAATGCAGTACAATACAGGCAAATCCTAGAGGAAAACCTGATGAAGACTGCAAGATACCGCTGGCTTGGCAGAAGATTTATTTTCCAGCAGGACAATGACAAGTGTAAAGCCACAGATGCACAGCAATAACAGAAAAACAACATTTATGTCCTGGAGTGGTTGTGTTCACATGTCAATCCAACTGAGTTTGAGCAACTCTGCAAAGTGGAGTATGAATGAGGGAGAACTGCAGTGGCCAGATGTGCAAAGCTAATAAGAGAACCACATACAGGCTCTGGAATTATTTCTAAAGTTGCATTTACTAAATATGGTGTGAATACTGTGTTTTAATGTTGTAAAAGAAAACAACGGGGGATACACTGTAGATTAATTAGTGCTGCTGTCAAATTTAACATTAGCTAATGAGATTAATTAAATGTTATGTTCCATATTTTTTGTGCTCTTGGTTGAACTGGTTGAATTGAATCTGCAGCACAGGTTTCCATGATGTGTTCAATACACAGGCATAAAAATATCAATAAATGCTGGAGGCCAGAAGACCAGCTGAGATCTGCTGCTTTAAGTTTTCATTTTCTTATTTCCTTTTGTTAAACAGGAATTGAATATTAACATACTAACTACAAAAATACTAACTACATTAATAAGAAATATAAAATAGTTTGTCCTTTTAAGTATCTTTTCTTTTCTTTCACTAACTTGGTTCCTTCCGAACATTCAAAGAAATACGATTTCATGCCAGACATTTCTGGAAAGACCTGACGCTCTTTCAGCAGCTGCTCTCTGTGTGAATAAACTTGATTTTATTAGTGCAAAGGCTCTCTTGACTGTTTTTTTTTTCTGAAGATAAGGAACACTTTTGTCAAATCATGCTGCAAAGTTGCGTTATGCAGAAGGCTAAACTGAAAACCATTATTTGGACTGCAAAGGTAAATCCAGACTTTGTGAAGTACATGTTCCCTTAATCAAAAACACTCCCCTTGAGGTTTCTGAGACAGCTGTGCCATTCTCTGACTGTGAATGTAATGCTTAACTGTGTTGAAAAGATCTAATTTATATGGCATTATTCATTAATACCCTCTGTTATATTGATGGGCCTCAAGATCTACGCAGCCCTACGAATCCAAAGTCCAATGCTACCTCACCGAATCCCACCACAAAGACTGTAATTAAGAGATGATGGGTGTCAGGTGGTGCAGAGGTTTTCAATAAAATCAATGTTTGCCTCACAGACTCTCTGACAGCAGACAGTGTTGTCTAGCTTTGTATTGATATTTACTCGAAATCCTGTGCAGCTTGTAGTTAATTCATAACCCTCTAGTTCTGTGTGGGGTCTCAGAGACCCCAAGGCTGTTCAAATAGATCAAAAATATACTTAATAATGAATCTGGTTGAATCTGATTATAAAGAAAATTTCCAAAACATGCATCAGACAAACCTGAACATTATATAAAAACACAGCATCCATTATTATTTTTGGCACCAACAACACAATTGCTCAATTCATTTTTGGATGATTGCACATCTGATATTTCTGCCGTGTCCATGCAACGATTGGGCTTTTTATGCCCAAAGTGCTTGAGCTTTTTGCCCATACTAAAATGCATGTTAATAGAAAGCTAAGAGCTTCAGGAGAGTGCTCTGCTGTCATGGCACGACATCACCTCCAGTGTTTCTAATTAGCTTATTTGGCCGGATCTGAAACAGTACGTCTTGTTAGAAAAAGCAGGAGCTTGACGTGAATTGGATATCTAAAGCCTGTGGAATCTATCAGGCTGACATGGTGCTTTGTGCTGTTGACTTCACAGGATGTCTAAAAGTGGTTGTTTTTCATAAGTCACACTTTTTTCTTTTTTTCCTTTCTCTCTCTCTCAGGGACTCAAACCAATGGATCACAATGGGCTGTCAGATCCCTATGTTAAGCTGCACCTGCTGCCTGGAGCTAGTAAGGTATGTGCCTGCTCTCCCCTTGGAGATGTATTGTTTTATACAATACAAGGAGGCTTGTAGTAATATGATTTATATGTTTTAAGCCAGTGGTTCTCAACCAGAGGGCCGGGACCCATTAGGGGCCCTCAAGAAACTTCCTTCCACAGGATAACTTCAAATGATTCTGATCAATATATTATGAAGAATATATATTAATATTATTATTAATAAAATAGAAAATCAAGAAATATATTATTTTGTTCTGTTCTATTGTTTCTGTTTGTTTCCCAGTTGAGAACCACAGCTTTATGGTAATGTTACGTTGATAATTGATTTCTTACAATAAAGATTCTAATGTTTAATACAGCCTTTAAAACCTGCTAAAACACAATTTACACATAAGGTACTGTCTGTCACTGTGCAGAATCCATAAAGGCTGACTATTTAACTGCTCATTCTAACAACTGTATTTTTGGTAAAGGCTCTCAAAATCTTTAACTGTGGTACATAGAGTATAATTTTGTATATTTAAAATAGATTTGTGTATCTCTAGACTCAGTACTCTGTTTTCAGAACAAGCTCTACCTGTAATTCCAGTTAAAATTACATATTAAATCACATCAGTAACTTTACATCAGATGGAAGGTTACTAGTAGGAGGTGTCTGTGTTTTTTGTGCATTTTGTTAATAACATATAGTCAGATAGCATATTTAACTGTAATATTCAATTTGTACATTAATAGATAGACAGACAGACAGATAGATAGACAGACAGACAGACAGATGCAGGCTCAGAAATCATGAGACAACTCAGCAAGACAATCTTTTTTTTTTACTTCAGACTCTTGAGTCTGAGGTATCCAACTTCAAATTAACTCTTAAAAATACTAATTTATACCATCTCTATCTGTCCCATCATGGGTCTAGATTACATTTATCAAATTGACCAGTGCTACCTTGAAATCTAAAAGGCCAGATTTTCCTTGTCGCTGAACAACCTCTGTGCTCTACAAATTATCATCATGCTTCTCATTATAATTCATCTGTTTTTAACCGTTACCCTTCTTACTCATCCTGCCAACAATCCACTTAGCTACTGACAAAATAAGACTCCTCTAAGTCATTCTCCTTCTGTATGGATCATGTGTCCTACAGTACAGCTGAACTCTCCTTCACGGGGTTACAGAATAATTGAATGGGATAGGATGTCTGAGTTAACCCATTATGATTAGGAAACACCTCACAGATGTGCTAGATGAAACAAAGACATTTGTTTAGGCCTTAATTGCACCTGCTTTAATCACTGTAAGACACTTTCTACATTTCCATTAACTTTTCTTCAATAAATGGTGTAAGAAGGTGCTTAAGCTTTATAAAATGGTGATCACCAACCTTGGAAGGTCAAACTAAATATTATATGAGCTGTTTTATTTTCTATTAATTCTAAATGAGGTTTGCCATTTTGCAACTGTGTTATCAAAATGTGGTACATGTCTAAATGCAGAATTTAAAACCCTGATTCATGTAATTTTATTATTATATAACATTTTATTACAGTTTCAAATCTGGAAGGTCTAGCTTCTTCTTAGCTTGTGCTCATTTAGTGAACCAGTGCCAGTGAACACAACCACTAACCTACAAGAAAATCTGTCATTTCTTCCAGGCCAATAAGCTCCGCACAAAGACCCTACGCAACACTCTCAACCCTGTCTGGAGTGAGACCCTAACGTATTATGGGATAACTGATGAAGACATGGTTCGCAAAACACTCAGGTACCCAATCAGAATCTATACATTCATCACTTTTATATGTCAAGGCTACTGACAATAGCTTATCCATTGTAAAGAAGTGACTTGGCTGTTAGAGTTTAGCAAAGGGTTGATTACCCCAAAAGATGCATTTGCTACATATTGAGAGAGAAAACAGTGTTCCTATGACATATACTGTAGGTGGGATCAGAAGAAAAGGATAATAGAGAAAGTGGCACGCAAAGCAAACCAGCTTAATAAGTTTAATGAGGGCTTTTTAAAAATGTCAGCGGTCATTGAACTGAGATCCTACTTTAATAAGGAAAAAGAGAGAATGTGGATGTTTTCTTAATTAAGTGTCCATGGTTACATGATTCCCATGATCCAGTTGTAATTGGATGGGTCAGGCCCACACCAGGCCCCCATGCGGCGCTGAACCTGAGGCTTAATTACAAGCTGAACAACCATTTGCTTTCAACAGCTTCAGTGATTCTTGGATCGCTGCCATACAAGTACTGAATAGAGTATAGTGGGACGTTACGGCATTCATAAAAATAAAAAGCCTCCAGTTGAAGGACTGGTGAATGAGGGAGAAATTTACTGATCTGGTGTTTAGGGTGTCCATGAAACCTCTCTGTTCCTGTACCGATGTATGACCGTAGATTGAGAGAACAGTGTTTGCTTTATCCTGTAAAATGGCATTATATTTCTTGGACATTATGTGACCCTGCAGAGCAATTATGAGGATCTAATCACTCCAATTAGCTGGCTGCTGATACCATTAGAGTTTCCTCAACATGTTTAACTGTTGCCAACAGAAACAGGAATACAGAGAGCATCCATTTATTTTTGCCAGTGTTTTGGGGTGTAAAAAGTAGGGAGTGGTGTGCACTGGCCTTGGTTATAAGTGGGCTTTTTTTAGTCAGATTCTAATTCAATTAGCATCTGTCTTTGGATAGGCATTTAGATATGTGGGGTAGTAACTGTCAATATGGAAGGGGAAAAAAATGTATTAAACACTAACTTTACAATCCGAAATAGTTAACTTTTTGACTCTTTAGACCTGACTCTCGCATCATAATTAAAAGTGGCAGTTGCTAGAGGCCTTTACAGGGCTGTACGTTAACTTTTTTTTCACATAGCACTGGTGCTACAGAGGTTGAAAGTTTTGTAGCACAGGCCAAAAAGTTGTGGCACAAGTATAAAACGTCTGTTATCATGTCTGAAAACAAACACAAGTAATTGAGTTCATCACTTAAACAGGCACTGATGTTCCATACAGAGCACAAAAAATACAAACCATCACAAAAATTGTTTTTAGACAAAGTTTTCTTAATTTGCTAAAAATGGAAGAGTGCAGAAACATAACACCTCTTACACCTTAAGAAAATATAAAATAAAAAAGAATGGCAGACATTTACGCCAAAGTGAGCAAAGATAAAAATCTTTGTCAGTATTTTATCTTTATCAGGCGCTTTTTGACAGGCTCTCAGTGTGAGCGCGCTTCACGAGTATGCGCTCAGAAAAGCGCATGCAAAACAGCACGTGAATTAAAGGTTTAACCGATATTGCTTTAAAGTAGATGGAAATAATGTCGTTTTGTGACTGCGCATAAGTGCAGTGTTCCGTGAGAGCAACTACCGCTGAGTTAACACTGATGTGAATGCATGTGGCGTTCTAGATTATACTGAGACGGAGGGAGGCGCCAGAACTGCAGCTGATAGAATATGCGCTGTAGCACGATACAACGTTATTTCTTCAAAAGCAGATCGTGGAGACATTTTAGTCGTCCACAATCAAAATTCATCATATCGCACACCCCCAACTACCAAGTATAATCAATCTCACACACACAAACAAGCACAACAAAATCACTTCACACTACTAAGCAGCTGTGTTATGATCATGCAAAACTGTATCGCACGTGTGCTACAGTGGTAAATGTATTCATCGCACAGACCAGTTTTTTCGTAGCACGTGCGACATATATGTCACACTGTACAGCCCTGCTTTAGACTCAGTGCCAACTGGTAATCAACCTATCATGATTCGCCTTTGCAAACATTGAAAGTTTTTCATGTAATATTCTTTATTTTGGCCACCCCGTTTAAGTCATATTCAGTGTTGCCTGGTGATTTCACCCCAGCTGAGATGTCATTGGCCCTTTTACTGCCTCGCAAACATGACTGTAGCAAAATGGGTTGTTTTTTTACAGAGCTTGATTGTTTAGCTTGCATTGAAACCCTGTGCAGTGATTGAAATGCTGCATTAGGATAATAGCACAGACAAAGTGGCAGTAAAGATTACACCACAGAGGAACATTAGTCTCCACTTGTGTGTATCATTACGTAACAGCTGTGTTACACACACAATATCCCTCAAATCCATTAAAAGCAGATTAACCAAGTTGCCTGAGTAGAGAAGCCACTTGTCATTGTCTTTCTAGTTAAATGTTGCAAATGTAAGAAAAGGGTTTAATGTGTCAGATAATGAGGTCAAAAGTACAAGTTTTACACACAGTTTTATACATTTTAATTTTATCTCCTCACGGAATAAATGTTAGTAAATGAAAACAACAATATTGTGCAGCTAATTGAACTCATGTCCTGCACACATTCACCTCAGTGCTGCGCATGCTGTCTGCAATACAAGTCACTACAGAAAATAGCCATCAATTACTGACAGAGCACTTTTTGGTCTTTGTCAGTCTTAACAATTTATATGGGCTGACAATGCATTAAATGGGAATCAGATTTCAATTTGGTGTTGATTAACTCTTACTTAATATGGATTCGTTTTCTGTTAGGAAACTACTTGCAAAGGAAGCCATTACTCTGAGGACTTTTCTACCTACCATCAGTCTCTGTCTCAGATACACCAGTATATAAAGGAAAAGTGTCCTCTGGAAGGGGGAGAAATATTAACTAATGTCCCAATACTTCGCCCAGATGAGCTTGAATCAAATTAGGAATTCATAGTTTATTGGATCTCATACATTTTCATTGGAATACCATATACTGACTATAAAAATACTTTTTATTTGGCCTTGGAATATTCAGTTTTAAGACCATGAATAATAGTAAAGGATACCGTCGGGGGCAACTGTAATGACCTATATTTTGTTGGTTAAACAAGATTATTTAATGTGATTTTTTTTTATTTATGTATGTATGTATGTCTATGTCTAAAGACAACTTGAAGGCCAGATATTTAGACTGTCACTGGTTGCTACTGTACAGGTTTACATTTTTATCAGGATTTTTGCCAGCAAGTTCAAGGGCAATTGAACTAAAAGTTATAATATACAAATGTGTGTGACTGAATTTAAAACTTGGCTGTTTTGCACAACTATTTTTGACTCTTCAGCTGATTACTATATTTTAGATCTAACCCATTTCAAATAATTATACTGTAGTTTTTGCTTAGAATTTAGCTTTAAACACTTTATTATGCCTGACAGCTAAAGTAATTTGTACCATATAAATGCAAACACTATGTAGTAATATTAAGTATCAAAACAGTTGATTACTATGAGGTGTGCTCTCTTTTCAGATACAGCTGATTTATTATTTTGAATAAATTAATTATATTGTGTATAATTAGTGTTTTTTTTTTATTTCCCCCAACTACCAACACAGGCGTCATGTATTAAATATGAGTATCTATATTTTAATGGAACTATTACAGTTGATACTTAAATACTATAGGTTTATACCAAATGATAAATTGTAGTTTGTGAGCTAGGAAAATAATAAATCAAACAATAAAGCTCCTAATAGAGATGAGACGGAACCTGCAGTCTCTTTTTCCTGAGCAACTTTGATGTTGCAAGACACTAAAAAGTTTGACACGACACCAGGTTCATGGTGGAGTTGTCTAGACAGGCCAGAGTGGCAAGAGCAGGCAGTTATTGTGTGAGTCGCAGGCTTTTCCCGCTGAGATTGCAGCCCTGGGTTTGGAGGCTCCCAGATTTGTCTGGACTCAGTGTGAATTAATGAGGCAGAGAGTCTGCGCTTCAAAGGTCACATTTCTGTGCTTAAACGCTGCAGTAACGGCTTCATTCAACACAGCTAGAGGGAGGTGATGCTGGGATGAAGCTGGGTGATTTAAGAGTTCGAAAGGTTGACCTGAGGCCTGGGATGAGGGTTTCAGCCTTTTTTAAAAGCTTTTCGTGCTGTTTTTAGAAGATGAGCTCTGTATGATGAAATGATCCGGACATACTAACAAGTTGACTGAAATCCGTCATTGATGTTTACTGTTTTGAGGTGAAGTACAGAAGTGTGTCTGTGCGCGTCTGTAGACATCTGGATCGGGAAGGACCCACCTGATGATTCACCATTGCTTTTCTTTAGGGCTGTCTTAGCCAGTTTCCATGGAAACCAAAAGTCTCCCTCATAGGCCTTTCCTTTAGGGATCGAACTTGTCCTTCATGTAAATAAACTCCAAATACTGGCATATTCAGCGTCTCACCTCTAGCGTTTATAAAAACTAGATTTTCATTATTTCCTCTTGCTGCATTCTGGCACTTTATAGCACCTTAAATTCTCTCAATAAAGCCTGTCTAGTAAAGCCCTGACGGTCTGTGCCCACATACCAGTGATAAAATTGTTGTCTTACGTCTGACTCGGTCTTGTTTGCTCTTGATCATTCTGAAAGGAGGGTACAAATGAAAAGAGACAAAGGCACTCTCTCTAACAGAAAGAGAAATCTTCTATTTCAATTCTTCTATAACGTCATCATTAAATGACACTGGCATTCTGTGCTCCAGTGAGTAGGTTTAACATAGTTCAAACAGAGGTTTAGCATTGAATTCTAGTACACTGGAATAAAAAAAATGGCATAGGGAACAATTTTCACTCAGAAACTGATTGTACATTTCACAAATAATTACAAAGAAATGGCAATAGCACATTAAATTAAAAGTGAAAATTTGAAGTCAAAAGATTGAAAAAGTATTTTCTTGTAAAATGCAATTAAAATACTTTTTGAAAAATGTTCTTACAATTTTTAGGTTAGTCAAGAAG